GATGATGACGTCATTAGAAGTATCGATTTTCTTGACGTCATAATTAACATCCAATGAAATTTTACTGCTGTTCCTTAGAACCGAAAGATAATCAATCTTGAATTTACCGTCATTAAAATCATCTCCATCTTTGTTTTTGTTTTTGTTGTTATTATTATTATTATTGTTTTTCAAAACGGATAAATAATCGACCGATACGTTACTCGTATCGGTCGGTTCAACTTTTTTACTTTTCAATACCGACAAGTAGTCGATGACACTATCATCTTTATTCCTATTCTTGCAGAAGTTGATGTTTTTGTTGTTGTTGTTTTTGTTGTTGTTGTTGTTGTTAATGTTTATAGTTGATTTGTTAGTTTTCCAATTTAGCGGTTTGCCGAATTTGCCGCTAAGTAAGGCGACGCAAAATTTATCATCCATCCCAGACAAACCTGCTGATGTAGTTGACGTTGATGTTATTGATGTTTTTGTAGTTGATGTTGTTGTTGTTGTTAGTGTTTTCTCGTTGGCATTACTTTCAAACTCAAAACTGCCGTGAGCTGGTTTGTTGAATGTTGGCGAGGGATTGTTGTTGAGGTGGTTTGTGTTAGGTGCAATAATTTTGTTGTCGTTGTCGTTGTTGTTGTTGTTGTTGATGTTGTTGTTGATGTTGTTGTTGATGTTGTTGTTGATGTTGTTGTTGATGTTGTTGTTGATGTTGTTGTTGATGTTGTTGTTGATGTTGTTTTGATCGGTGTTTGAGGAGGGCTTGTCAAAGACTTTGACGATCTCGTAAATGGACGGCAGCTTGATATCTTCGTAAGTTGGATAGTCTAAATACGTACTTGAAGTTGATGATGTTGTCGTTGGTGAAGCTGCTACTACAGCTGCTGCTTTTGATGTTGTAGTTCTTGTTGCTGACGATGATAACGGTGTTGATGTTGTTGATGTTACGGCTGACAATTTCAAATTCGATGTAGTCGTTTTGGGGTTCAGTGTGGCTGTTGTCGTTTTTAAAGACGAAAATGATGATGATGATGATGCTGTTGCTCCTGATGATGATGGTGATGGTGATGGTAATGATGATGGTAATGATGATGTTGTTTTTGAGGATGACGACGATGAAGATGACGATGACGATGGCTGAGTTGACAGAACAGTTAAGGAAGTCGCTTTTGTCACCGTGCCTATATCAAAATAAAATAATAATAATAATAATAACAACAACAACAACAATAATAATAATAACAACAATAACAACAATAATAACAATAAGTTGTCACCATTCTTTTGGAATTTCTCTTTTAAATGTTGGACAAATATGGACGAGTTGGAATGTTCATCAATCCAGCCATCCGCTTGACTGTCCCACGACTTTACGATGTCTACACCAACAACATCGTCGTTCTCCTTGCTATTGTTATTATTATTATTATTGTTGTTGTTGTTGGTGTTGCTATTGTTGTTGGTGTTGCTATTGTTGTTGGTGTTGCTATTGTTGTTGTTGTTGGTGTTGCTATTGTTGTTGTTGTTGGTGTTGTTATTGTTGTTGTTATCAGTGAATTCGCCGTCGTTGGTGCTCTTACGTTGTTGTGGTTGCAGCAGCTGGTGCTGTTGTTTTCGCTGCTGTAAATTAAATATCGATTGACTATTTATTATTGTTTATTTAAATTAAAGATAAAATGCAAACACACACACAAAATACACACACACAAAATACACACACACATGCACGCACACACACACAAAACACACGTCAAAGAACCATCATTCATATTCTTGATAAACGTTTAAGTTTTAATTGACGTAACTAATACATCTGACAAATAATTAATTATATATAAAAAATGAAAAATTGATATATATATATATATAGAGAGAGAGAGAGAGAGAGAGAAAGAGAGAGAGAGAGAGGAGGGGGCAGTGAGAGAGCTACAACAACGATGTATATTTATAATATATCATATCAACAACATAATCCATGATAATAGCAATAAATAATACCGATGTTTAACATCCAGAAGTAATAATAATTACTTGCGATTAATGATACTAACTAATTATAAGTTTCTTATGGATATCAAATTGATAACATCGCATGTACATGTAAGATTATGGTTTATTAAGAAAAGACCATTAAGTATCATTAAAAATTAGTTAAGTAATAGATAAAAACCTAAATATATATACATACATATACATATGCATACGTACATATATACATTTCTAGCATGTTTTATATCATGCAGACCCTAGTTCAATATTTTTAATTTAAAAATTATTATTGAATATGTACATACACAAACACCAATGCATACATACGTACACACACACACACACACACTCACACACACACACACACACAGATATATATGTCACACGCAAAATAATATTTAACTTTACTATACATAAGTAGTTGCTATTAACTCGTTATAAATATCGAAATAGCAACTTTTGAAGTGTTTTTCGTTACGATACTTTATCTTATGTTGCATTGATTTGTTATGGAAAAAGTGAAAAT